ATCAAACTAGAAATGCTCTACAAATCATGGGACTCAGAATGTGGAATGACCTTCCCAACCATGTTAAAGACTGTACCTCTCTCAACCAGTTTAAGATAAAAACTAAACACTACCTAATAAATTCCCTGTAACCTACCTCACTCCTCTATTGTCAACCCATGTCTGTAATTTTTTTTTGTTTAATCAACACTGTTTGTCAACCTATTGTATTTGTGCTGCTTTTTCAGTCATGTTCCCCCTTTTTTTTTATCTTTATTTGTATTTGTTCTCAACACTTTTTATTCTTTATGCTCAATTAGTATTAAGTTCTAGATATTAATGTTTTTCTTGCCCGAAACGCATTGCGTAATAGTGGCTTTAGGCATTGTATGTACTAGCTCTATCTATATATCAATCCACTAATGTAACATCACTTGTATGTATGTATGTACCTTACCTGAATAAACATATTTATTTATTTATTATTTATTAATGGTGGAGGCCGAGTCTCCCAGGTGTACGGGGTCAGCTGTGGCACCTGTCTCTGTGGTCATCATCTCCAGGGCCTTCCTGATGGTCTCCTGCACCTGTCATTACCAACACAAACATTAATGGTGGAGGCTGAGTCTCCCAGGTGTACGGGGTCAGCTGTGGCAACTGTCTCTGTGGTCATCATCTCCAGGGCCTCCCTGATGGTCTCCTGCACCTGTCATTACCAACATAAACATTAATGTGGAACCTGGACTATAATGAAGCATCAGGCTCTGAGTAAAGTAACTGAACTACAATGAAGCATCAGGCTCTGAGTAAAGTAACTGGACAATAATGAACCATCAGGCTCTGAGTAAAGTAACTGAACTACAATGAAGCATCAGGCTCTGAGTAAAGTAACTGGACAATAATGAACCATCAGGCTCTGAGTAAAGTAATTGGACTATAATGAAGCATCAGGCTCTGAGTAAAGTAACTGGACAATAATGAACCATCAGGCTCTGAGTAAAGTAACTGAACTACAATGAAGCATCAGGCTCTGAGTAAAGTAACTGAACTACAATGAAGCATCAGGCTCTGAGTAAAGTAACTGGACAATAATGAACCATCAGGCTCTGAGTAAAGTAATTGGACTATAATGAAGCATCAGGCTCAGAGTAAAGTAACTGGACTATAATGAAGCATCAGGCACTGAGTAAAGTAACAGGACTACAATGAAGCATCAGACTGAGTAAAGTAATTTGACAATATAAGTAGTGTTTCTCTACATTGACCACAGTTTAGAGAAACACCAAGATGACAGTTGACTTTATTAATAAAAATGTTTCAGGTGTTAGAGCAAAAAGTTTCCTATAAAGTCTACTCTCATCTTGATGTGTCTCCATGTCAAAAGTGTTTATATAGAGGCAATACTACACACAGTTGGGTGAGAACAATGTTACCTTCAGCAACGTACCTTCACTGAGGTGTGGACAGTCTTGACATCTGGGAAGAGTTCCTGGCACTTCCTGAGCCAATTTTCTACCTCCATGTTGCATTGGTCAACTTCATTGATGGTCATGAATACTTCCTGGGCTGTGTTGACTGTGTCGAGGCTCCCCAACATGGCCTGCAGCTGAGTCTTCCCTTCCTCTCCTTGTGTTGTCATATCCACCACACTGGTATCCTCCAGTTCCAAGAGCTTCATTGCTGACTTGTTCTGCTCTACCAGAGCATAGAGTCTGTCCTGGAGCTGGAGATGGTGAGTCTTCCAGTCCCCCAGCTGCCTCCGGTACTCCCCCAGCTGGGACAGTACCTCTTCACAGCTAGTAATGAGGCTGCTGATGATGCTCTTCTGCTCCTGCACCATGGAATGTAACTTCTTGCTGATTCCTCTTGCAGGAGCTTTAATGGGTTTTGCTGGTAACGTTTTCTCTGGTACAACCTCGATACCTTTTAGTTTTCTGATAAGGGCCTCCATACCATAATTAATTGTAAACTGAGTAGCAGCTGTGGCAGCATGCTGGGCACGGCAGCTGGGGCAGGTCAGCTGCCCATTCTTGATAGCATTGTTAATACACTGGGAACAGAATGTGTGTCCGCAAGGCAGTGTGCGAGGCCGTAGCTGATTGTCATCATAATTGTTAAAACACACTGAACATTCCTCTGGGTTGTTATCCTATGGAAAAAAATATTTGGTTAAGCTAGAAGAATTTACAACAAAAAGTAATATTACGGTACTGTAATGTATTTACCGATACAAATTACATAATATTTACATAATTTCTTTGTACAGAGGAGCCTCGGTATTTGCAATGCTCATAATTCGCACTTTTCGGTATTCAGACGCTGTGTTCATGTTCGGTATTCGTCTGTTTGCTCGGCATTCAGATGTAAACACGCGTCCCTGATGCATCAGTTTCACCATAGCTGTTGTTCAGTGCACAACCTACTACACTTTTCTCTTGGATATTTTTTATATTCTTATTGTAAATAAGTCACCATGACACCTATGAAAGTTTGTAATATGAGCCTAGCAAAAAGAAAAATGGTTAGAATCATGATACAGATGAAGAAAGAACTCACAGCTATATATGAGAGTGGTAAACGAGTGTCAGCTTTTGTTACAGAGTTTGGTATGCCTAAATCTAGTTCTCTATTAAAATAAATGTATGCAAAATGAGAGAAAGTGAAAACCTTTTCTTGAAATTATCACCTTGACAAACTGTGTTACAAATCTGTTGAATGACAGTGCTATGGCTAACTTTAAAAACATTTTAATGCACAGGCAAAAACAATCATCCTTGGACAAGTTACTAATAAGGAAAGCATTCAGTGAGTGTAATGAGGGAAACAGAAAAGAGAAAGAACATCAGAAGCACAACTTCCAGAAGTTTTAATGTTAGGGAACTCCCCTGCCAAAGAACATCTCTCTTCCTCTGCCTCACTAGTTTCCACATATGCCATCAACTCTCCGAAGTACAGGTAAAGTGTAGTGTGTTAGCATTTATTCCATTTTTTTTTTTGAGATATATACAAGAGTTGTTACATTCTTGTACAGCCACTATAGTACGCGTAGCGTTTCGGGCACGTCCTTAATCCTATGGTCCCTGGAATACGATCCCCTGCCGTGAAGAATCGTTAAATTACACAATTAATTAAATTACATTATAGTTACACAATATTTAATTATTGTGTAACTATACAGTATTTATTTTTGTGGTTTGGAACTGATTAATCCAATATACATTATTCCTTACTAGCTGTACTTGGCCACGCATTGTTGTGGCTCAGCAACGCATGTGCGTTGTTGAGCCACAGCAACCTTCCCCTGTCTCCCAGTCCTCCCCACCATTCTCCAGTCCCCTCATCCTCCCAACCATTCCTGCCCATACATCATTGTTAGTAGCTCTGAGATTTTATGCAAGTGGAAGTTTCCAAAGTGTTATTGGAGATTCAACTGGTCTCAGTCAATCGAGTGTATCAAGAATAATAACTGGAGTGACGGAAGCTCTCTACAGAAAAGGACTAGCAGAAATAAAAATGCCAACAGAGATGAATGAAATTATACAAACTAAGTTAAAATTTAATAATATCAGTAGGTTTCCCAATGTAATTGGAGCAATCGATTGTACCCATGTCCCCATTAAAGCTCCAAAAGTTGAAGAAAACATATATGTAAATAGAAAACAATATCACTCTTTGAACATTCAAGTTGTGTCAAATCCAGATAATGTAATCATGGATTTCTGTGCAAGATACCCTGGAAGCACTCATGATGCTTTCATATGGGCTAACAGCAGACTCCATATCAGATTTGAAGCAGGAGAATTTGGCATTGCCTATTTGCTAGGTAAGATATGCATTTTAAATATGACCTTCATTTATAGTACAGTAGGTTGCCTATTTGTTATTTATCGAGTCACAACAAATACACTATACAGTCTATAAATAAAAGTTGTTTAATATTGAATGGTAACAGCTTATTGTATTATGAATAGTATAAAGAAATTTATTCATGTTGATTTTATATTAAAGAAATGACAATGTGTTTTAGCCCTGATATGGAGAATGAAAGTGAGAATTTTGAATGGAAATCAGCAGAAATGTGTTTAAATATACATCATGTGTCATGGGTGTACCAGAGATTACAAGTGGATGATTAAGTTAAATATGGAAGGAAGTGGATTACATTTTGGTTGTTTTGATATGTCAGTTATATGCCTCTGAACATTAAATGAGAATGATGTATGTAATGCAAGAGGTAATCATATGACAGAGGAAGGTAACCAACCACTTCAGATGCTAGAATCAAATAGTGTATGAAAGAAAGTGTGGGTTTAGGATTAGTGAGTGATTTTTAAAGATGTATGCACATTTTATAAATTAAATATCTATGCAGGTGACAGTGGCTATCCCTTGCAACACAACTTACTTACACCCTTCACAAACCCTGAAAACCCTCCAGAAGAGCTGTATAACAGGAGCCATGCAAGAACAAGAGTGGTAATCGAGAAAACTTTTGGCGTGTTAAAATCTCGGTTTAGGTGTCTCCACAGTTCTGGTGGTAGTCTTCAATATGAAACAGATAAATGTGCAAAGATTTCAGTTGCATTTATGTTATTGCACAATTATTGCATTGAGCAAAGAATACCTCTTGAAGAGATCATTGATGGTGACTTTATAATGAATGAAAATGTTGAAGGTGGAGCACATGAAAATGGGCACACAAAAAGAAGGGAAGTAGTAAGGAATAATTTCTCATAAATTTTTATTTCAAATCATACTTATATAACAAAGTAAAACATGTAATTGAAAACACTACATAATGGAACTTTTGTATAAAAATACAAGTACAGAAACTCAAGAATTTATCAATAAGGGAAATCAAAAACATTTATAATTTGATTCATAGATTTATTTGTAAGTTATCCTATCAATTTTTACCTATTAAATTCAATAGCACATACTGTATATGTAAGTGAAACAGAAATATACAAACAAACTGTTACAAACATGTACCTGCTGATTTGGAAATATTATTTATGCTGCTATACTTTATATGGAAAGTCAGATACCTGAGGAGAAATATATGCATCTGACAAAAGACCAAAAATTTGTGTGAAAAATATATCAATAAATATTTATTCATAGACACTAAGAAATGTGGTACATAATATGGCTGGGTAAATTTTTGGTTTGTAAATAACTACTAGTGTTTGTTAGCCAATGCTGTGTACACACAGCATTGGCCTTAAAATTGAATTATTTTAATTATAAAATAAAGTTGCTTTCAATACAGTACAGTGTATAATATACCTTACATGTAAGGGAAAAATTAAATATAATTTTGTTTAAATGATATACACAAAACAATGATATAGGCCATCAATATGTTGCCCTTAGACCAATTTGAGGTGAAACATATATTAGGGATGTGATAAAATAATTATATCTTTGCCATTAATCTTTTTGCCAATAAAAATGTTTCTTATTCTGGTGTTTTTTTTCATATTGTCACTACTTTGAACTCTCAACAATTAAACCTAGCAATTGATAAACATTCTTTAATACAAAAAACATGTAAATATTTTCACCAAACATCAGTTGACTATATGAGGTAGATTGGTTATTAAATTACACTATATACTATGCAAGTCATAGCCAAATTAATGATATGAATAATTGTTACATTTTAATGTTTCAATATTGTTCTTATTTAAAATTGTTATTACAAAATATTATAATTTCTTATCCTATTTTTAGAGATTATAATTAGAAAGATTTAAATAAATTTCATAGTGCCTGATTATTTTTCATACATTCTACCAACTCCCATATACCTTTGGATATATCATTGAGGGATTTGTTTAAGTCCTGTACTTCTTTAACCACCTCCTTGAAAGACTTGTTTCCTACATCTACTGCTTTTGCAACCTCCTTTAGGGACTTGTTCCCTTCATGTACTTCTGCAGCCACGTCCTTAAGGCTGCTGGCACTTTGCGTACAACATCTATAAGATTTTCATGCAGCATTAACACTTGTTGTGTTGTATTATGTTCTGCAGTCATTTATTTTTTTCTTGTATGCGTACTAGAGACTGTACTAGAGATTTAACTCACCAGTTTTTCTCATTTCCCGGGCATTTTCTGCCAATTTTTTCTTGACTGAAGATTTAAGATCCTGAAATTTCTTGCGAACATCGGCTTGTTGTCTTGAGCAGAGACCAACACCACTTACAGCAACAGCTACTTGGCTCCAGGCACAGTGTTTATCATGGGTAGTGACTTGTCTTGATAGCTTCCCAAAAATTATGCTTTCTCTCTTCTTAACCTCATCAACGAGAACTGTCAGCTCCTCTTCACTGAAGTTTGCTTTCCTTTTTATCCCAGACATTTTCTTTGTCATATTTATTTATGAATACTAAGAGGATGTAGTATGTTTTTTTGGGTTCTTGATGGTAGGTGTAGTTTGCGTGAAGTTTCTATTCTCTCGATGACTGCACGAGTACAAATGTTGGGAGACGCGTTAATGTTGAGAATGACTAGGTTTCAAAAGTGTTTGATGTCTTGTACTGTAGATAAAGTGAATAAACAAAAACAGAGGCGTGTTAGAGGGAGACGCCGCACTGTAGGACGGGGTGGTTTTGTGCTGGCGTCAGCTAATCCTTGGTGCTGCGGCCAGACACTTGTTTTCTGTGTTTGCCTGTTGGTTGCGCCAACTATGAATGTGGCACAGGTCAAATGTGGCCACTTTAATTGTTGGTCACTGGAGATATTTAGCCAGTGCTTTGATTATTGGATAATTTTCATGTAACGAGATGTCACCTAGTAATATACACGATGGTAAAGGTTATTTTAAGTGCGCTATTTTTTTTTTTTTTTATTTACTCTGGCACTACGATGTCGAAAACAGTGAAGGAGATAGTGTTTGATTGTTTCAGGCACATGACTGGATGCACAGATCATTTCTTCTTCTTGATAGTAGGTAGAGTTTGCAACAGATGATTTTTCTGACAACAATACCACGAGGAACCACAATGTTTACATAACACAGCTGATATTGCATTAGCGTGATTGGTCAGGTTAGAAATGTAACAGTCACTCTGATTGGCCAAACGAAACACAGTAGTGACCTCTGTCGGCACGTAAGTGAACAAGACCCAAAACCCAAATATCTTCCTAAGTGGACCTTATTGAATCGCACCTAAGCATCTTCTTAGGGCGCACTTAGGAACCTTCGTAGCAAACCCACTTACGAAGAAATACACAGAGCTTCCTGAATCTAGGTCCAGGCCGCGGGCCGTACCGTATTAATCCCATACGGCTGTGGCTCGAGGCGCATGGTGTAGTCGGGGGTGGGGGTAGGTTGTGTCGGGAGAGAGGGGAGCTTTGGGAGGGATCACCAGGGGGATAAGGGGGATGTGGAGTGGCCTATACACTACAGTACAGGAATTACCATTAATTTTAGAACAATTCATCATAGCCAAAAACAAAAGAAATACTAGAATACTAAATATTTTTTCCAGTGTTCTGACATCAATTTTCGTGTTACGTCTTTCATTTTGGTATCAAATTGTGCGCAATCTAAAGGCGCATATTTTAAAACTAATCCCATCATAATAAAACAATAAATAAACTTTAACAAATATTTTAACTTTTGGACACTTTTTAACGCTCAATCACGACAAAATTATTTATATCTTTCCAGTGTTCTGACATCAATTTTCATGTGACGTCTTTCATTTTGGCATCAAATTCTGTGCAATCTAAAGGCGCTCATTTTGAAACCACACCCAGATTGATCAGTTAAAATTGTAATTTTTAACAAATATTTTAATGGATGATTTCAGACCGCGTCATCCGAGACGGCCCAGGAGAAAAACGGATGTCACTGGAAAGCGACATCGGAGTGCGAAAGTGATAATTATTAATACACTCACCAACACAGGTTAGTGACAACTGTTATGAGCCACCAGTCCCTCATAATATCCACCCCACCCAGTATGAGAGTTATAGTATTCCATACTTATACCCTGTTTGGACTGCCTTATAACCCATTAATATGCAATACAACATGTGTAGTTAGGTAGGTAGTACTGAATTTATAAGTGTTTCAGGCTCTCCAGACAACAGTATTAACAAAAACTCCATGATTTGCTCATCATCAGCTCTACTGAACTGCCTGAAGTACAAGAAGGTCAAAACTGTTCAAGTGTAGCCCATCAACTGATTACATCAGAGATAAACTTTAATGATACTATTAAATCTATCAGAATAGATAAAAACAATCACCACAGCACCAGGCAGATGCTCACTAAACTAGCTTATTCCAATGATAAGTAAGACGTCATTCAATCAGCTACAAATATAAAACCAATCTTTATATTAATGAGTGCCTTACCAAGCAGCGTTGATCCTCCTCTACAGACAGCATCATATTATATTAATGAGTGCCTTACCAAGCAGCGTTGATCCTCCTCCACAGACTGCATCATATTATATTAATGAGTGCCTTACCAAGCAGCGTTGATCCTCCTCTACAGACTGCATCATATTATATTAATGAGTGCCTTACCAAGCAGCGTTGATCCTCCTCCACAGACTGCATCATATTATATTAATGAGTGCCTTACCAAGCAGCGTTGATCCTCCTCCACAGACTGCATCATATTATATTAATGAGTGCCTTACCAAGCAGCGTTGATCCTCCTCCACAGACTGCATCATATTATATTAATGAGTGCCTTACCAAGCAGCGTTGATCCTCCTCTACAGACTGCATCATATTATATTAATGAGTGCCTTACCAAGCAGCGTTGATCCTCCTCCACAGACTGCATCATATTATATTAATGAGTGCCTTACCAAGCAGCGTTGATCCTCCTCCACAGACTGCATCATATTATATTAATGAGTGCCTTACCAAGCAGCGTTGATCCTCCTCCACAGACTGCATCATATTATATTAATGAGTGCCTTACCAAGCAGCGTTGATCCTCCTCCACAGACTGCATCATATTATATTAATGAGTGCCTTACCAAGCAGCGTTGATCCTCCTCCACAGACTGCATCATATTATATTAATGAGTGCCTTACCAAGCAGCGTTGATCCTCCTCTACAGACTGCATCATATTATATTAATGAGTGCCTTACCAAGCAGCGTTGATCCTCCTCCACAGACTGCATCATATTATATTAATGAGTGCCTTACCAAGCAGCGTTGATCCTCCTCTACAGACTGCATCATATTATATTAATGAGTGCCTTACCAAGCAGCGTTGATCCTCCTCTACAGACTGCATCATATTATATTAATGAGTGCCTTACCAAGCAGCGTTGATCCTCCTCTACAGACAGCATCATATTATATTAATGAGTGCCTTACCAAGCAGCGTTGATCCTCCTCTACAGACTGCATCATATTATATTAATGAGTGCCTTACCAAGCAGCGTTGATCCTCCTCTACAGACAGCATCATATTATATTAATGAGTGCCTTACCAAGCAGCGTTGATCCTCCTCCACAGACTGCATCATATTCACAAACAAAACCTAAATCTTATCAAGCAGTGCTGCACCAGGAATAGAACGATCATTGGTAAGAAAGAACAGGCAAAAGACATGAAATTAAGTGTCCAACAATTACTGGCTTTCTTTGTTGATTGTGACAGAACTGGAAGTCAGCGAACTTCCAATGTTATTGTTGAGAGTAACACATGAGTGACCAAGCCTTACTGACAGTAACACATGAGTGACCAAGCCTTACTGAGAGTAACACATGAGTGACCAAGCCTTACTGAGAGTAACACATGAGTGACCAAGCCTTACTGAGAGTAACACATGAGTGACCAAACCTTACTGAGAGTAACACATGAGTGACCAAGCCTTACTGAGAGTAACACATGAGTGACCAAGTCTTACTGAGAGTAACACATGAGTGACTAAGCCTTACTGAGAGTAACACATGAGTGACCAAGCCTTACTGAGAGTAACACATGAGTGACCAAGCCTTACTGAGAGTAACACATGAGTGACCAAGCCTTACTGAGAGTAACACATGAGTGACCAAGCCTTACTGAGAGTAACACATGAGTGACCAAGCCTTAGTGAGAGTAACACATGAGTGACCAAGCCTTACTGAGAGTAACACATGAGTGACCAAGCCTTACTGAGAGTAACACATCAGTGACCAAGCCTTACTGAGAGTAACACATGAGTGACTAAGCCTTACTGAGAGTAACACATCAGTGACCAAGCCTTACTGAGAGTAACACATGAGTGACTAAGCCTTACTGAGAGTAACACATCAGTGACCAAGCCTTACTGAGAATAACACATGAGTGACCAAGCCTTACCAAGCCATATGCCCTAACCATATTTAAATTTTGATTTATAATTGTATACAAGTTACTAAATATTTCTTTATTATATTATTGGCTTCAATTATATGTAATTTACCCTCTTATAACTTTTACTACAAAGACTTAAATTTTATAGAATATATAATTCTTTTAATGCTTAATTTATCTAGTTATCAGGTTATTCCCTCTCCGCTGATAGAATTAAGGTCGAGCCAGAACACGGAGCAGCAGCTGGACCGGGAAAGAAAGGTATTAGGACCCCCACCTCAACAAGTCCTACCGGAAAGCGTCCACCGCGATAGCCTCGTAGGCAAGGGGAACAGCGCCACAGATAATGGGAGATGCCGAGATCGCGTCGACGCGAAGAGGTCCACCTCTGGGCGCCAGAATGTCCGACAAAGAAAGTGGAAGGAGCTGGTATCGACTGTCCACTCCGTGGATAGAGGAATGATACGTGGCGTGGTGAGCGCTGGTCACTAAGCCCCAGTCAAGAGACGAGGCGTCCGTGAACACATCGAACAAGGAAAGGGGAAGGCGCCATCCACCAAACCCCGAAAACCCCAAGAGGAAGCCAGAGACACAGCAACCGACATAAGGACCCCAGGGGACTAACCCAGTGGTCGCAAGAGCGGTGAAAGGGGCTGTCCTGAGGAAACTAGAACATCCTCCGAAGCCAAACCCTGCCCAGCGGGTAAACTATCATGGCAAATTTCAGGTTCCCGCACAGCTGCACCAGCAACCGCCGAGTGACCCGGGTCCCCCCCCCCCTCCCTTATAAACCATTAAAAACGGTTTTTAAGTCTTGTCTCCCCCTTAACAACTGTACTGTGCAATGCACTTTGATGCTCTTGACGGGTGTGTCATGTTCACAGAAAATGGTACCATCCGTTTTCTATGTGCGGCGGCTGAGACGCCAGAGAGAGAAGGTAAACAATAGAGCGTACAGGACGCCCGCCAAGCTTGGTAGCTACTAGTCATGTAATCATATTAAGTATTAAAGTCAGTAACCAAGTCATGACTTTACATCAACC